ATGTGCCATGCCGTCCCATGTCCTACGCCATATGCCATGTGCTATGCCATATTCCATGTGCTATGCCACATGCCATGTGCTATGCCATATTGGATGTGCTATGCCATATGCCATGTGCTATGTTATGTGGGTTGGCATGTGGTGTGCTACAACATGGAATCTCAACCGCCCTGGTCCCCTCGCCCCAGACACATGTGTGCTCAAGAGATCTGGAGGCAACGTCACGTGCACCAAGGACAGCACTGGATTGGGCTCCTGTCTTTGTGACGCTGGCTTTGTTCTTCAAACAGACGGCAGGACATGCACTGGTATGTGCTGTGCCAGGCACCATATGCTGTGCCAGGCACCATGTGCTATGTTATGCAGCATGTGCTATGGCATGCACCATGTGCTATGTCACGCAGCATGTGCTGTGCCTTTTCTATGCCATGTGGTCTGGAATGTCCTATGCCGTGTACTATGCCATGAACTACGATGTGAAATCTCAACTTCCCTACTCCTCTCGCCCCCAGAAATATGCGCACTCAAGGCTTGTGGTGGCAATAGCATGTGCACCAAGGACAGCGCTGGAGTGGCCTCTTGTGCTTGCGACATGGGCTTTCTCCTTCAAGCTGACGGCAAAACATATACTGGTATGTGCTGCACTGCTATGTGCCAAGCCTGCATGTAATCAATGGTCGAGTCACACACACGCTACACTTGTCATGCACTGTCATCTACGTGTCCATCCCATCATGTTGACAGTGCACTTGCTTTACCCCCCCAGCCCCCCCCCCCCCCCCCCCCCCCCCCTTACCCATCCCTCCCTCTTGTGTCTCGCCTCTTGCCTCTCGCCTCTTGCCTCTCGCCTCTTGCCTCTCGCCTCTTGCCTCTCCCCTTGCCCCTCACCCTTCGCCCATCGCCCTTTGCCCTTTGCCCCCGCTTCTCACCCCATGCCTCTCGCCTCGTGCCCCATATTCGTTGCAGACACGTGTGCACTCAAGGCGTGTGGAGCCAACGCCACGTGTACCAGGGACAGTGCTGGAGTGACCTCCTGTGTTTGTAGTGCTGATCTTGTTCTTCAGGCTGACGGTAGGACATGCACTGGTACATGCTGTGCTGCTGCTGTGATGAATCTTGTGCATGCTGATGGCTTTTCCTGCTGATATTAGTGACAAAGTCTTCCTTTCTCTTCTTTTGAGGCATTTTCTTTATTGTCACATGTACCGTTTCCTCACTGATTTTGAGGTTTCTAAAATCCAGCTCTGTTCAGATGCACTGTTTCCTCACTCTCTCCCATCCCAGACACATGCGCACTCAAGGCATGTGGTGGGAACGGCACATGCAACTTAAACAGCACCACTGGAGTGGTGTCCTGTGTGTGTAACACTGGCTTCGTGCTGCAGGACGTGCACTGGTATGTGCTCCCGTGTGTTCACAAAGACACAGACACACACACACACACGCACGTATGCACGCACACATGCACGCATGCACGCTGCGTATACCCTTGTATCCCTTCCACCCCCCCCCCTCCCCCCACACCCCCCCACTCTCATCTCACTCACTCCCTCACCAATGTGTTCAAGGGTAGGTGCTTGCTTTGCCCGACAAGGTGTAATGCTGTTCGTCCCTTCCTTAAAACACCTGCGCGTGTCATGAGTCAACCACACCAAGACATATCCACTGCCGTGCACCAGCACATTTTGAAACTAGACTACTTGGATGAGGGCTCTTAGCAACCATTTCATTCTCGCCATCTGTCCCGCCTATAGACTCCTATGCCCTCTTGAGCTGCAACACCTAGAACACGGACTGCGTGAAGGACGCTGCAGGCGCGGCCTCTTGTGTTTGCAAAACCGGCTACCAGAACTACTGGGGCACGTGTATGGGTATGTTTGACTGCCCTAAACACCACATGCCCACTGGAAAAAGACAAGGCCTTGACCGGCCAGCTGGGCCGAATCAGGGTTTGAGGCGCCTCAAAAGTCGGGCCATCCAAATCAGGGTTCCACCAGTTGCTCATGACTAAGTCTGTTATTTTATTTAAGCCTTTTGTACTGAGGTTTGTACAATTGCTCATGCCTACTTGAACTCACCTTTTGTACCACTCCTCTGGTAGGGTGGTAGTGTTTTTGGTTCCTTGCTGTGGGAATCTACTCTATTGATAGTTGTGTCGTATGATTCACACTACATGCCTTTCATGGGTTTGGGGTCTCACACGTTGCGTGTTAACCAGATTGAAAGTCGCCCAAGACAAAGCAGCTGGCCTGCTAGCCACACCGGCTTGTCAGCAGGGACGGGCCACAAGACAGACTGTCAAGCCGCAAGGCTCGTCCTGGGTCCTTTTAGGCTCGGGCCAGCTGCTTCTTGTTGCAAGCTAGATGGTAGTGAGGCTGCTCAATTTGGCTCAGCAGGCGCCCGCCGGCTCTGCATGTGCCCAGCCTAACATGCATGTGCTGTTGTTTTTGGCGGCGCCCCATCCTGCACACACCAGCTGCTGTCTTATCCTGTATGCTCCCATCATTCTCACCACCATCACAGGGCCTGCCTCGTGTGGGGTCTGCCCTGCAGGAGCCAGCTGCACTGTTGAACCCTACAGCCGTGCCCCCTACTGCGTCTGCCCTCCTGGCTCCCCATCCCCCCTCTATCCCTCCCCTCCTCCCCACCCCCTCAAACCCCCCCCCCGACAAATCCCAAACTGTCTCTGTAATTGCATCCCTTGGCAGACGCTACAAGATGATCAAGGCAATGACTCCTGCATCCTTGCTGAGGCTCCCATCCGCATGGGCATACTTCACCACAACGGCCTGCTTCTCGGCGTCAGAGCACCGTGCCATGATGCAAGTGCTGTCTCTCATCATTGACCTCCCTAAGCATGCCGGCATTCGACATGCCATCGTGCTCATGTCGGACTGGTACAAGGAGTTCATCCGGGCCGAGTATCACACTGATGAATGGCTCGAGTGCATGGAGAAGGTCTCCTGCGAGTAAGTTTAGTGTGATTGGATGTGGGTGCCTTGCGCACGAATCAGCCAAGAGAGGCAAAGAGAGGGAAAGAGAGGCAACGAGACGGAAGGAGAGGCAGAGAGTGGGAAAGAGAGGCAAAGAGAGGGAAGGAGAGGCAGAGAGAGGGAAAGAGAGGCAAAGAGAGGGAAGGAGAGGCAGAGAGTGGGAAAGAGAGGCAAAGAGAGGGAAGCAGAGGCAGAGAGAGGGAAAGAGAGGCAAAGAGAGGGAAGGAGAGGCAAAGAGAGGGAAAAAGTGGCACAGAGAGGGAAAGAGAGCCAAAGAGAGGGAAAAAGTGGCAGAGATAGGGAAAGAAGGGCCGAGAAAGGGAAGGGGGGGGCTGAGATAGTGAAAGAGGGGCTGAGAGGGAAATACGGACATAGAGAAGAGAAGAGGGGCACAGAGAGAGGGAATGGAGGGGCAGTAAGAGGGGAGGAGGAGATGGGACGGGGGGGTAAGGGTATGAGAGAGGGGGGGGGGAGGGAGCTGGTATGAAAGAGGGGAGGAGGGGATGAGAGAGGGTATGGGGCAATGGGTGATGTTCATTGCAGAGTTGTAGTTGATGTGATTGCTCATGCTAAACCCCTCCCCACCACTACAATGCCACACCCCCGTTTCTTTCTATCCACCCTTCAACCCTCCCCTCCAGTATGGTCGATGCGCTTGTTCTAGCGTTCGACAACCAGAAGTCAAAGTGGTAATTGTGAAGGTACATCTTGTATCGCACCTACCACCCACGATCCGCGCACGCGAATTGCCACAGGAGTACTCGTCCAACTGGTACGAGCAGTCCCACAAAACAACAGTGAAGCGCCCTTCCCGTGGCACCAACTGGAAGGGTGTGGAAGATCGAATTGTGAAGAAGCATGTCGAGCAAGCCGTTGTTCGACAGCTGTCTCGGGCTGCCGGCGGGGACAAAACCTACGAGACAACTATGAAGGAGGTGAGCATGTGTACTCCCTAAAACCAATCTATGTGCCACCACTGGTCCCCCCTTTTCCATCCGCATGCTAGCCTACATGACCTCCTGTTTTGCCCTTCCCTGCATCTCCTGTTGAGCCCCGCTGCTCCATCCTCTTGCTACTCTAAACCCTTGACATCCTGTTCTGCCCACACATGCTCCCCATCTTGTCCACACATGAACCTCTCACACGCTGCCCCCCCTTGACATCCCGATGTGCAACCCCATGCTCCCCAACTAGCCACCCATAAACCTTCGTCCAGCTAAACACGTTGCCTCCTCGTTCTTCCCCCCATTGCTACCCCATTTCCCCATCCATGACCCTTCCTGAACCCTCCTGCCCTTCTTTGTCTTTCGTTCTGCCCCCCCCTGCTCTCTACTTGTCCACCTATGCTCCCTCCTCTAGCTGCCCCCTTTGACCTCTCGTATTGCCCCCCTACGCTTTCCTATGTGTCCCTAATCCCTGCTCCCTGTTACTGCTGCCCCCATTGTACTCAAGTGCTGTCTAAACTCTGCTGCCCCCCTTGTAAACCATGCATCCATCACCCTCCCACCCAAGCTTGCACGCTTGGGCGATGGGTGCTGACTAAGACACACAAGAAGATGACCGCGGGGCACATCACAGATGATGTGTTCAGGAGCTACGTCCTTGTTCACGGAGATGCAACGATGGGCTGCTTGAAAAAGCGGCTGGCCAAGGAGGGAATCCGCGACCAAGTGTTATGGGCGCACTCACCCGCTACACAAACAAGCGCTTTTATCCCAGTGGTTAGTGGCTGGGATTCTGACACGCAGAAGTGGGTGCGCAAGGCATGGCTTTCAGGGCTTTCCGAGACGCGGTCGATGTGATATGAGGACATAGTAGGACTGTAGGAACCTCTGCCTTTTGTTCTTGTATTACAATCGTACCCCACGAAAAACAAACAAGAGGCCAACCAACGCACCCCATAACCAGCCAAAAGCAACCAGAAAACGAATGGGAAAACGCTCTATGCTGTCATGGGATCAATAGGGTGTGGATGTGCCGTCATGGGAGCCATGAGAAATGGTCATCATGGGAGCGAGGACCGTGATGAGAGCGATAGGGTGTGCCGTCATGGGGGAGATGAAAATGGTCATCACGGGAGTGGATGTGCCTCACGGCTATTCTGTGAGCAACTTGTCTGTTGAGGGGAGAGGCAAACAAGGGGATGAAGATCCAAGGGACAATCTGAAGGGGTGGAAAATCAATGGTGACGGAGCTCTTGGGGATAGGGTGAGAGAAACCTGGATTCACTGTCATGCTAGATCTTATTCCCGTCATCACAGAAATAAGTTTCACACAGCTGTTACAACAAAATCACATAAAAACAATGAAGTCAAAACGAGGGAGGTTTAAAGGGGAACTGATTACGCTTACAATCAGAGGAGACGAATTGATGCTCAAGCCAATCTATTAAAGGGTCAGAACAAGCTCCGATTTAACCCCAAGCTGGTACTCACCATACAAAGTATTAAAGATGCGACGTAAGAGTGCCACTAGACCACTGTTGGAAGGTGAGCAGTTGAAAGGGGCAGAACAAATCGGGTGTGAGGGTGGGGAGAAAGAGAGGGGAGAGGGAGAGGGGGAGGGAGGAAGAGGGGGAGGGAGGAAGAGGGGGAGCGGGAGGGGGAGCGGGAGGGGGAGGGGGAGGGGGGGGAGAGGGGGAGGGGGAGAGGGGGAGAGGGGGAGAGGGGGAGAGGGGGAGAGGGGGAGAGAGGGAGAGGAGGAGGGAGGGAGAGAGGGAGAAAGAGGGAGAGGGGGAGGGGGAGGGGGAGGGGGAGGGAGAGGGGGAGGGAGAGGGGGAGGGAGAGGGGGAGGGAGAGGGGGAGGGAGAGGGGGAGGGAGAGAGGGAGGGGGAGGGAGAGGGGGAGGGGGAGGGAGAGGGGGAGGGGGAGGGGGAGGGGGAGGGAGAGGGGGAGGGGGAGGGAGAGTGGGAGGGAGAGGTGGAGGGAGAGGTGGAGGGAGAGGGGGAGGGAGAGGGGGAGGGAGAGGGGGAGGGAGAGGGGGAGGGAGAGGGGGAGGGAGAGGGGGAGGGAGAGGGGGAGGGAGAGGGGGAGGGAGAGGGGGAGGGAGAGGGGGAGGGAGAGGGGGAGGGAGAGGGGGAGGGAGAGGGGGAGGGAGAGGGGGAGGGAGAGGGGGAGGGAGAGGGGGAGGGAGAGGGGGAGGGAGAGGGGGAGGGAGAGGGGGAGGGAGAGGGGGAGGGAGAGGGGGAGGGAGAGGGGGAGGGGGAGGGGGAGGGGGAGGGGGGGGTGAGGGGGAGGGGGAGTTAGAGGGAGAGGGAGGAGAGGGAGGGAGAGGGAGGGAGAGGGAGGGAGAGGGAGGGAGAGGGAGGGAGAGGGAGGGAGAGGGAGGGATAGGGAGGGAGAGGGAGGGAGAGGGAGGGAGAGGGAGGGAGAGGGGGAGGGAGAGGGGGAGGGAGAGGGGGAGGGAGAGGGGGAGGGAGAGGGGGAGGGAGAGGGGGAGGGAGAGGGGGAGGGAGAGGGGGAGGGAGAGGGGGAGGGAGAGGGGGAGGGAGAGGGGGAGGGAGAGGGGGAGGGAGAGGGGGAGGGAGAGGGGGAGGGGGAGGGGGAGGGGGAGGGGGGGGTGAGGGGGAGGGGGGGTTAGAGGGAGAGGGAGGGAGAGGGAGGGAGAGGGAGGGAGAGGGAGGGAGAGGGAGGGAGAGGGAGGGAGAGGGAGGGATAGGGAGGGAGAGGGAGGGAGAGGGAGGGAGAGGGAGGGAGAGGGAGGGAGAGGGAGGGAGATTGAGGGAGAGGGAGGGGGAGAGAGAGGGAGGGAGAGGGAGGAAGAGAGGGGGAGAGGGGGAGAGGGGGGAGAGGGGGAGAGGGAAAGAGAGGGAGAGAGACAAAGCAAGCAAACGATGGGTTAATTCGCATTGGTTCCTCAACAAGCAAACTTCAAACGCGTGTGAAAACTACCAACACAATTGAGCTGAGTAATCATGAACTACGGGATGCTGGGTGAGCAAAGACAAGCCAGACTGTTTGTGGCCGGCGACATCCCGCAGTACGTAGCTCCCACAGCACAGTTCAACTGATTACACGTAACTGTGAAGGAGTTGGGGTGAAAGAACGTGGCAGACCAAGACACAAATAGTGGGACCAAGGGTGGGGAGATGTGGGACAATAACACTGCAACACACCAAACCAAGATAGAAGTGAAATTAAAAAAAAAACAAAAAAACAAAAAAAAACCAAAAAAAAAGATATAGAAAGGGATGCACAAGGAGGCGCGAGAAATGGATGCACAGAGGGGAGAGGTGTGGAATGGACGTGAAACAAGGGGTAAGTGGGGTTCCTTCCAAGATTGAAGACAACAAGACACTTTACAAGGATGTTGGAAAAGGAGGGGTAGGGGGGTTTAAGATTAAAGACGACAAGCTACCATCACCCACCTGCACGTTGGCTGCTGATGCACGTCCTGCCATCCGGCTGCAGCAAGTAACCACTTCTACACCAGCAGGTAGCCCCGCCATTAACCATATAACACTCGCTGTTGGCATCACAATTCTGGATCTCACAGAGAGCTGCGTGGGGGGGGGAGGCAGAAAAGAGGGGCGAGGCAGAAGAGAGGGGAGAGGCAGAAGAGAGGGAAGAGGGCGAAAAGAGGGGAGAGGACAAAAAGAGGGAGGAGGGGTGGAGGGGAGGAGGAAAAGAGGGAGATGCAGAAAAGTGGGCAGAAGGATGGAGGGGAGAGGGAGAAAAGGGGGTAGAGCAGAGGGGTGGAGGGGAAACGCAGAAACGAGAGGAGAGGAGACATAAATTTAGGAGGAATCACAGCAGCACACAGAATAGTGCATAGAATTACAGAGACTAGAACACAGCAGTTTCATCACGTACTCTTGCACGTGCCATCCGGCTGCATCACAAAGCCATCGTAACAAACACAAGACGCCGCTCCAGTAGTGGCATCCTTGCTGCAGTAGGTGAAGCCACTACAGGTCTTGCTCGCGCAGTTGTCTGGGCAGGGGGGGCGATGGGGGAGGGGAGTGAGGAGTGGAGGAAATGGGCGAGGATGGTGTAGGAGGGACGTGAACAAGGAGAGTGAAATGAAGAGGAGGGTGAGTAGAGACGTGCACTCAAAGGAGTGTGGGAAGGGTTGAAGGAAAAGAGGCCAAGCGAGGAAGGAATAAGCAGCGACGTTCAAGGAGAAACTGAGATGGAGAGATGGAGGGAATGGGCGAAGGAAGGAGAGAGGAGGGATGGAGGGAGGAAGGAGAGATGGAAAACATCTATTGTGAAAGTTGATGCGTACCAGTGCAAATGTCATTCACCATCTGGAAGCCCGTGTTGCAAACACAGGATGCAACGCCTTGAGCGTCCTTCACACAATTAGTATTGGCACCACAGTTCTTGATGATGCACGTATCTGAAAAGAGGCATGGAGAGAAGCGATTAGAAGAGTATGGCATGATATAGAAACAGATGAGGATGGGATGAAGGGGCCAAGGGAGGGAGAGAGAGAGGGAGGGAGCGAGGGAGGGCGCGAAGGAGGGAGAGAGGGAGGGAAAGAGGGAGGGAGCGAAGGAGGGAGAGAGGGAGGGAAAGAGGGAGGGAGCGTGGGAGGGAGCGCACGAGGGAGGGAGCAAGGGAGGGAGCAAAGGAGGGAGCAAAGAGGGAGCAAAGGAGGAAGCAAAGGAGGGAGCAAAGGAGGGAGCAAAGAGGGAGCAAAGGAGGAAGCAAAGGAGGGAGCAAAGGAGGGAGCAAAGGAGGGAGCAAAGGAAGGAGCAACGGAGCGAGAAAAGGAGGGAGCAACGGAGGTAGCAATAGAGGTAGCAACAGAGGTAGCAACAGAGGTAGCAACAGAGGTAGCAATGGAGGGAGCAATGGAGAAAGAAAAGGAGGGGGGAAAGGAGGGAGGGAAGGAGGGAGGGAAGGAAGGAGGGAAGGAGGAAGGAGAGGAGGGAGGGAAGGATGGTGGGAAGGAGGAGGGGAAGAAGGGAGGGAAGGAAGTAGGGAAAGGAGGGAGAAAGGAGGGAGGGAAGTCGGAGGGAAGGAAGGAGGGAGAGAACGAAGGAGGGAGGAAAGGAAGGAGGGAGAAAAGGAAGGAGGGGGAGAAGGAAGGAGGGAGGAAAGGAAGGAGGGACAGTGAATAGAGGCTAGTGGGAGTAAAGTAAACAATTAAACGGGTAATTGAAAGATGATTAAACGATTAACGATGTTCAAGGAGAAACTGAGGTGGAGGGGTGGAGGGAATGGGCGAAGGAAGGAGAGAGGAGTGATGGAGGGAGGAAGGAGAGATGGGAAACATCTATTGGGAAAGATGATGCGTACCAGTGCAAATGCCGTTCACCATCTGGAAACCCGTTTTGCAAACACAGGATGCAACGCCTTGCGCGTCCTTCACACAATTAACATTGGCACCACAATTCTTGACAACGCACGTATCTGAAAGGAGGTGTGGAGAGAAGCAATAAAAAGAGTACGGGAATGGGATGATTCACAGCACGTGATTCAGAGCAGCACTTTATAGCAAAAGCAGTCAGGACTGGTGTGCCTCTGCCACCAAGTACAGGCGCATCAGCATGGCGCATCAGCATGGCAGTTGGAATACTTAACACGTCTAGGCACAATACGGCATGTCACAAGGCATGGCACATGGCACGACACATGGCATGGAACACCACGGTTCAGAATCTCGCAGGTGTCAGAGTAGCACACAAAATCACATGAGTAGCACACAGCAGTTTCAGCACATACCAGTGCACGTCCTGCCATCCGGCTGCAGCACGTAGCCAGTGTTACAATCACAAAAAGCACCGTTACTACTGCAGAAACATTGGCCATTCACACTACAGTTCTTGACCACACAGGCATCTGCGTGGGGGAAGAGGCAGAAAAGATGGGAGAGGGGACATGAATCAAGAAGCAATCACAGAAGCACACAGAGTAGCACACAGCAGTTTCAGCACATACCAGTGCACGTTCTGCCATCCGGCTGCAGCACGTAGCCAGTGTTACAGTCACAGAAAGCCCCGTTACTACCACGAAAGCATTGGCCGTTGGCACCACAGTTCTTGACCACACAGGCATCTGCGTGGGGGGAGAGGCAGAAACGAAGAGAGGAGAGGAGGGGTGGAAGGGACATGAATTTAGGAGCCGTCACAACAGCACACAGAGTAGCACACAGAATCACATGAGTAGCACACAGCAGTTTCAGCACATACTAGTGCACGTCCTGCCATCCGGCTGCAGCACGTAGCCAGTGTTACAGTCACAAAAAGCCCCGTTACTACTACGAAAGCATTGGCCGTTGGCACCACAGTTCTTGACCACACAGGCATCTGCGTGGGGGGAGAGGCAAAAACGAAGAGCGGAGAGGAGGGGTGGAGGGGACATGAATTTAGGAGCCGTCAAAACAGCACACAGAGTAGCACACAGAATCACATAGACTAGCACACAGAAGTTTCATCACATACCAGTGCACGTCGTGCCATCCGCCTGCAGCACAAAGCCAGTGTCACAGACACAGGACGCCGCTCCAGTAGTTTCGTCCTTGATGCACCGGCTGTTCACACCACAGCTTTGGATCACACACTTGTCTGGGTGGGGGGATTGATGGGTGAGGGGAGTGAGGAGTGGAGAAAATGGCCGAGAATGGTGTTGAAGGGACGTGAAGAAGCAGAGAGTAAGGAAGAGGAGTGTGAGAAGAGATGTGCACACAAGGAGCATGGGGAGGTTTGAGGGGATCGAGGCCAAGCGAGGGAGGAGTAAGCAGCAACGTTCAAGGGGATGGGGGAGGGAAGGAGGGAGCAAAGGGGGGAGATATAGACTGTGAATAGGGAGCTAGTGTGAGCAAAAGTGAAACGAGTAAATGACTGATCCGAAAGATGATGCGTACCAGTGCAAGTGCCTTGCACCATTTGGAAGCCCTTGTTGCAAACACAGGATGCAACGCCTTGAGCGTCCTTCACACAACCAGCATTGGCATCACAGTTTTTGATGACGCATGTATCTGAGAGGAGGCATAAAGAGAAGAGATTAGATAAGTATGGCACGAAAGCAAAACAAATGAGAATGGGATGGGGGATGGAGGGAGGGAAGGAGGGAGTGAGGTTGGGAAGGAGAGAAGGCGGGAAGGGAATGCAAGAGATGAGGGAAGGAGAGAGGGAGATGCAATGTGAATAGTGCGGAGATAACTACTACAACGGGAGTTGCTCCCGTACGTGCCCGTCGACCTCCCAAGTCGACGACCACCTCCAAGTCGACCTCACCAGGTCAGGTCGACCACCAATAGGTCGACCAGCAGGCCTGGTCGACCAACCACCAGGTCGACGAGCAGTCCGCCAGCCGACCACCGAAGTCGGTTGCCCAAGTTGACGTCACCAAGTTGACGTCCTCCCTAGGTCGACTTCCCAGGTCGACCTCCATGAAGTCGGCGCCCGTGCAGTGGCCCCCGTGCAGGTCGACCTCCTCGTCAACTAGCTCGCCCACTGCTGCAGGTCGGCTGCTCCCCTCACACCCGACCACGAAGTCGGCTCCGCCCAAGCGAGGACGGGGCCAACACACAAGTCCCGTTGACAAATCGAGCGCTAGTGAGACTATACAACTCATTTGAAAAATTCAACGCACACACCCTTGCACACGTTGTGTTGCACAGCACAACACACCTTGAAAGACTTCATAGAGACATGCAATCTACCTTGCTTGTTGGACAGCTACAGCAGCACGCACCAATGCATGTGGAACCGTCGGGCTGCAGAGCAAAGCCAACGTTGCAAACGCAAGACGCCACTCCACCAATGTCCTTGATGCACCTGCCGTTGACGCCACACTTCTTGAGCACACATGTGTCTGGCCGAGTGGAGAGCAAGGGGTAACGAGTGGGGTGAGAGGGAAAAGACTAAGGGAGAGGCACTTGATTCACAGCAGCACTGAATTGATAAGCAAAAGCAGTGCAAAAATATTGTGTCTCTGTCATCAAGTACTGGCGTGAAGCAGCATGGCACTTGCAAATACTTAGCACGTTGAAGCACAAGACGACACAACCCATGGCATGGCACATGGAATGGCACATGGCATAGCTCATGGCATAGCCCATCCATCTCACAAGGCATGCCACTTACCAGTGCACGTCCTTCCATCCGCCTGCAGTTCAAAGCCAGTGTCACACACACAGGACACCACTCCAGTAATTCTGTCCTTGTTGCACTGGCTGTTCATACCACAACTCCGGACCTTGCAGGTGTCTGTGTGGGGGAGAGCAACGGGGGAGGGGAATGAGGAGTGGGGAAATGGACGAACATTGTGTGGGAGGGACGTCAACAAGGAGAGAGTAATGAATAGAAGTTTGAGTAGAGATGTGCACACAAGGAGTGTGAGTAGAGATGTGCAAACGAGGAGTATGGGAAGTTTTGAGGGTAAAGAGGCAAAGCGAGGCAGGTGTAAGCAGCGTCGTTCAAGGGGAGACTGAGACTAAAAAAGGGAATGGGGGATGGAAGGAGAGGAGGTAGGGAAGGAGGGAGGAGGGAGGAGGGAGAGAGGGAGAGATTGACTGTGAACAGATGGCTAGTTGGAGCGAAGCGACAACGGATCCGCAGCTTATTGGGAAGATAATGCGTACCAACGCAGAGGCCTTTCACCATTTGGAAGCCCGTGTTGCAAGCACAGGATGCAACGCCTTGAGCGTCCTTCACACAAGCAGCATTGGCACCACAGCTCTTGATGACGCACGTATCTGAAAGGTGGCATGGAGAGAAGAGATTAGAAGAGTATGGCACGAAATAAATATAGATGAGAATGGGAGTGGGAAGGAGGGAGGAGAGGAGGAGGGAGTGGACGGAGGGAATGAGGCAGGGAGGGGGGATGCAAGAGGGGGAGAGAAGACTGGAAAGGAGGGAAGGAGACTGAAACCAGGGTCACACACACAGGACGCCACTCGTGCAGCACGAAACCATCAGCCCTCCACACAGTTCTGAGATGCCATCAGAGGGTATGGCATGGCGCATACCGGTGCATGTGATGCCATCAGGCTGCAGCACGAAGCCAGTGTCACACACACAAGACGCCGCTCTTACAGCGCTCTTGGCGCACTTGGCGTTACCACCGCACTTCTTGAGCACACACGTGTCTGCCAAGGGAAGGGAAGAAGGCATAGTGAGTGGAAAGGGTAAGCCATAGTGAGTGAAGGAACAAACCAGGAGCGTATTCATGCATGTATGAGTGCAAAGGGTGGAAAGTTGGAGAGTTGTGAGTGCCAAGGGCATTCTTAAGTCAGCAACTATGTTGTCTTATCACCGGTGAAAGAGGTTAGGAACCGCATGCATTTCCTGATAGTGACAAATAGCCTCGGGATAGAGTAGGCAGCGGGAGCTACATGTCTCTCGCTAGTCACACATCAGCAACTCCACACCAACCGGACCGGAAGCTCACGAGCCGGCGGCAAGGGCTGATGCGGCCACTGCGTCTGAGACTGGTGCTGCTGACGACGCTGTGGCTAGAGGAGTGCCTGTGGGAGCTGCGGCCCTAGGGTCCCCCTTCATCTCTCCCTCCCTACCCTCCACCCCGTTCCACTCGCCCTGTTTCCATGCCCAGTGGCCAAGACCACCACAGCAAGGCTCATCTTCCCACGCCACTGCTATGAGCTTGTAGGGGGAACCTGCAAAATGAGCCAGCAAAGTGCTGACAGTTACACACATGGACAGTCTCGCCCCTCCGAGGTGACTTTTGAGTCGACTCAAAAGTCCATCTGTCTCGCCCCTCCGAGGTGACTTTTGAGTCGACTCAAAAGTCCATCTGTCTCGCCCCTCCGAGGTGACTTTTGAGTCGACTCTAAAGTCCATCTGTCTCGCCCCTCCGAGGTGACTTTTGAGTCAACTCAAAAGTCCATCTGTCTCGCCCCTCCGAGGTGACTTTTGAGTCGACTCTAAAGTCCATCTGTCTCGCCCCTCTGAGGTGACTTTTGAGTCGACTCAAAAGTCCATCTGTCTCGCCCCTCCGAGGTGACTTTTGAGTCGACTCAAAAGTCCATCTGTCTCACCCCTTTGAGGTGACTTTTGAGTCGACTCAAATGTCCATCTGTCTCGCCCCTCTGAGGTGACTTTTGAGTCGACTCAAAAGTCCATCTGTCTCGCCCCTCCGCCCTTCTCTCCTCCTCCCTCCCCTCTCCCCCTCCTCCCATGCCCTTTTCCGATTCCCCTACACCAGAGCTGGTGAGCTCCAAGTGAGGGCAAGTTGTCCACATGGTGGGGTGGGGTGGGACCCCTCTGATTCTGTCACTCCTCTCTCCCCTGCCCCACTTTTCCCATCCCCCCCCCCCCCCCCCCCCCCCTCCCTCCCCCCATTCCACCATGGCGGCAGGGCTACCAGTGAAGCATGTGATTCACACGGTGGGGCCCATCTACACATCCGCACAGCGCTCTGCACCGCTGCTGCACTCCGCCTACATGTGAGTCATGCTGACTCTTGCTGGTCAACGCTGATCAACTCCAGTCAACCTTGCTTGATGCGTGCTCTGCGCCTCTGCTGCGCTCCGCCTACGTGTGAGTCATGCTGACCTCTGCTGGTCGATGCTGGGCAGCTCAAGTCAACCTTGCTTCATGCATGTCGCCTATGTATGAGCTGGTCTCTTTGAGGCAACCTCACCTGCCAATGCTGGTCAACGCTGGTCAATGCTGGTCAGCTCAATTCAACCTTGACAAATGCTCTCAGCCCTGCTGCACTCCGCCTACGTGTGAGTCAACGTTGGTCTCTTTACGGCAACCTCATTTGTCAGTGTTGGTCAACGCTGCTCAATGTTGGTCAATCTGGCTCTGGCAAATGGCCAAGTCAACTCAGTCAACCACGTCAACGCCTTCCACACTTTTCCCATCCTCCCCACCCCACTTCCTTGCAACAACCCAATTTCGCACTTGCATGCCCTCTCCTCGCATTGTCCGGAACTGTGTAATCCTCTTGTCCCTCCATCATCCCATGCCATCCTGTTATGGCAGCCCCTTGCATGCCATCTATCATGCTCACATACACATAACCCCCACCTTCCTGTCCCCTTTTGTCCCCTTTTTCCCCTCCTCTCGTCCCCTCCCCTCTCCCCCCCCCCCCCCCCCCACAACCTCCTTTTTCCCCTTCTCCCCAACCCCCCCTCCCCTCCGTTTCCCCCCCCGTCTTCCCCCAGCTGCGCCATTCAGGAGGCACGCAAGCAAAGCCATGTCTCCACCTCTCCCTTGCCTGCCGTCTGCCATCCCCGCGTGATCCCCCTACCATCTGACACGCCCCCCCCCATCTCTCCCCCCCACTTTCTTCTCCTCCCCCGCCCCCACCACTTCACCGCCTTTCCGGCAGTTTCCCGCAAGGCCATCCCCCCACCTCTGCCACCCACATTTGCCAACACCCCCACCTGCCATGCCATCTGCCATGGCCCTCGCATTCCCCCCAACACCTCCCCTCTTGCCCCCCCCCCTTCCCCTTCCCCTCCCCTCCCCTTCACAGCCGTTCCATGGAGGAGGCCCGCAAGGTGCATGTCAAGTTCATCGCCTTTCCCGCAGTTTCCTGCGGCATCTATGGGTGAGTCAGCATTACGCGTTCGTGACTCAGCAGCACCATGGGTGGGTGAGTCAGCATTATGTTCCAGTAAGTCAGCATCATGTGTGGGTGAGTGAGATAGATCGTCTTCAGCCATTCTTGCAGTTTAATCAGGCACTGTCCTTGCTGTTTACTTCCACATTGCTCATGCTGTTCGTGTGGCTTATGAGATTCCTTGGCTTGGATTGCCGCCGGCCTCTAAAAGATCTGCCGCGACAAATCCTTGCGTGTGACCGGTCTGCTCTGTGCTGTGTGCGCTTCCCGCCGTTGTGCCCCCTGGTGGTGCCTCATGCTGCATGCATCTGCAGCTACCCTTTCCCTGACGCTACTCAGGTGTCACTCAAGGCCCTTCAAGCAACCTGTGCTGGCTTTTCAGAGGTCAGTCTATCCATCCGCTTATCACTCACTCTCCCTCTCACCGTCCCTCTCACCGTCCCTCTCACCGTCCCTCTCACCGTCCCTCTCACCGTGCCTCTCACCGTGCCTCTCACCGTGCCTCTCATCGTGACTCTCACCGTGCCTCTCACCGTGCCTCTCACCGTGCCTCTCGCGGTGCCTCTCACCTTGCCTCTCACCGTACCTCTCACCGTGCCTCTCACCGTGCCTCTCACCGTGCCTCTCACCGTCCCTCTCAATGTTGCCTTTGATCTTTTATGGGATTTTCAAAGGTGGCACTTGTGTCATGGCTGTATGCCTCACATGAAGGGGCTTGTTGCCTTCTGTTGCCTTGCGTTGACCCTCTCACGTGTGTGTAATGTGCCGGCCGTGTGCATCTGGGCATCTGGGCATCTGGGAATATTTGCACTTTTGTCATCTGGCCAACTGGGCATGAATGCAGATCCATTTCATTCTATTCAATGAGAAGGGCATGGATGCAAACGAAGGTCATCCCCCCTCATAGTTGTGCCTGTGTGTGTGCATGTCTGTGCGTGTGCTCGTGCACATGCGAGCAGGTGCATTTCATTCTTTTCAACGAGGAGGGCATGGATGCATATGAAGGAGCAGCAGAAGACTTGCAGCTACCGCCTCTCGAGATCAAAACGGACGGCTGAGCCAGCTGCGTCACACAAGCAAAGCAAGCTCATGTGTGGACAACTCTACCAACTCAAGACGCATCCGAATACGGCCTCATCCTACGTGGCGCAAGGCTCCAAGGCGACTCTCAAGATGTGGCATAATCGGCTTGCGCACGCCAACTACGACTCGGTCAAGGAGTTGGCCAACAAAGGACTTGCGAAGGGATTTGACGTGATCGCCGGCAACGACGAGAAGGGCGTGTGCGCGGCGTGTGTCGAAGGAAAAATGGCTCGCAAGCCATTTGGTAGCCGTACCTCACCCCTCGCTAAGGTCCCGCTTGCGCTTGTTCACATAGATGTGTGTGGACCGATGCGGCATGCATCAAAGGGAGGAGCGCGGTTCCTCTTAGTGATGCTCAACGACGCAATGCGGATGTGTTGGACCCGGCTCTTGAAGGCTAAAGGAGAAGCGGCCAAGGCAATACAAGAGTGGGCGCTCGACGTTTGCGACAACGGCAAGAAGCGGATCAAGTGCATTCGCACCGATGGTGGCGGCGAATTCGTGAACAACGAGCTTGAAAAATGGATGAAAAGCAAGGGCATTAGGCACGACGTCACGACACCCTACACACCCCAACAAAACGGAGCGGCGGAGCGACTCAACCGCACATTGGTGGAGGCTGTCCGTTCACTTCTTCAACACTCCTAGCTTGGGAACGAGTGGTGGGGAGAGGCGAGTGCGCTAGCGGCATGGATTCGTAATCGTGTGCCAACAAAGGTGCTACCGGGAACGACTCCGTTCGAAGCATGGACCGGAACGAAGCCGACCCTATACCGCCTACGCACCTTTGGGTGCCTTTGCTACTACCATGTATCGGATCCACTTCGCCACAAGTTGCAACCGAAAGCTCGTGCGGCGATCTACTTGGGAATTGCGGCGATCGAGCGTGCATGGCGAGTGTGGGATTTGGATGAAAAATGCGTCGTCACGTCTCGGGATGTGATCTTCGACGAAGCCAAGTTCCCGACAACGGAGAAACAAATGCCGCAACTCACCGTCGTCCTTCCCGCACGAGAGGAGGATGAAGCGGTGGAGGTTCCACCGCACGTGCAAAAGGGAGCCGAAAGTGGAGGGGGAGAGAACGAGGAGTGCGATGATAATGTCGAGGAGGTGCCACCAACCGAGGAGGCCACTTCCTCCGCACCTTCTTCCCTACCATTGGCGTTAACTCGCGGGCTTCGTACACCTCGCCCCAACACGAGGTTAACCGACTATGCTACAGTTGCTGTTGGGGAGTTCGATGAGGAGAGTGCGGCACTTTGCCTAGCGACCATCGGCGACGATAACCCACGCACCCACAAGGAGGCTTTGGCTTCACCGGATGCACCGCTATGGAAGCAAGCAATGGAGAGGGAGTTAGCATCCATAAAGGAGAACGATGTTTTCTAGCTCGTCGACCCGCCGAAGGGTGCCTACTTGGTGGGATGCAAGTGGGTGCTTAGGAAGAAATTGGGAGCCGATGGAAGTGTCGAACGCTACAAGGCACGGCTTGTGGCGCAAGGGTACACTCAACGGGAGGGGGAGCACTATAGTGAGACCTTCGCTCCCGTTTCGAAGGCCCCCACTCTTCGGGTGTTGCTCGCGCTAGCGGCATCTCTCAACCTTGAGGTGGAACACTTGGACGTTTGCATCGCTTTCCTCTACGGGCTTCTCATGGAAGAAGTCTACATGCGGCAACCCCCGGGGTACGATGATGGTAGCGGACGGGTATGGAAGCTCAAGCGTACCCTCTATGGCTTGAAGCAAAGCCCACGCGGATGGTACAAGCGCATCGACGACTTTCTTCTTCAACACGGCTTCGCGCGAAGCGTGTGTGATAGCGCTTTGTACGTGTTGAAGGAGGGGGAGAAGTAATTGGTGCTTTTGCTCTACGTCGATGACCTCCCACTTTTCTCCGACTCAAAAGACCTCATTTGTGAGGTCAAGCAACGGCTAGGGGCGGAGTTCGCCATGAGGGACTTGGGACCGGTGACGTAATACCTCGGGATGCACGTCGACCGCGACCGTGCGAACGGGACCATTCACTTCCACCAAGAGAAATATGTGAAAGGGGTTGTGGAGCGCTTCGGCATGGGTAATAGCAACTCGGTGGGGACGCCACTCGACACGGGATTTTCTTGCCTCCCGGGAGAGGAAGAATCCGCCCTCGACAAAGCCGAAGGGAAGCGGTTTCATTTGCTAGTCGGCTCACTCATGTATGCCGCCGTTTCCACACGTCCTGACCTCTCCTACGTCGCCGGGGTACTTGGACGAGCCGTAAGCAACCCTCATACCGAGCATGTGCGTGCGGGAGGACGTGTTCTACGCTACCTCCAAGGCACACCCAACTTGGGAATCGTATATGAAGCCGGTCCAATCGTGCTTAAGGGCTACACCGATTCGGATTATGCCTGTGATCAAAGCAAGCACAAGAGTACCGGCGGGTACGTCTTCACCTTGCTTGGGGGAGCCGTGAGTTGGCAAAGCAAGTTGCAACCAACCGTGGCTCTAAGCACAACGGAAGCGGAGTATATGGCACTCACTCAAGAAGCCATGGAGGCAATATGGCTACGGCGCCTTCTAGCGGAGCTTGGGCATCCTCAAGCCGACCCAACTCCTCTCTTTTGTGACAACCAAGCGGCCATAAACCTCACTCACAATGCCATCCTTCACGGGCGTACCAAGCACATTGAGGTGAAGCATCACTTCATTCGTGAGGTGGTCGAGAAAGGTGAGGTCAAGGTCACATACATAAGCACCAAGGCGCAACCCACGGATTTCCTCACTAAACCACTCCCTAAGGATTCATTCCGTGCATGCCGTGAGCGTGTTGGTATGAACACCTAGTGGCTTGGGTGCAAGGGGGAGTGTTGGAGGAAAACGGTGGTGGGGCGGTGGTATGCCCCCAACCCACCGAGGGCACTTCGGTGCCTTCGATCCCTTTGACTAGAGATCGGTGGGGTGGCACCGATTGACTTCGGGAGACTCACCCTTCGGTGCCACGTGGCGGCACCATATTCCAACCTTGGAGTTGAAGTCACATTCGGTGTGTTCGGTGAAATTCGGTGGCCGAATTTCACCCAACCGAAATTGTTACACGCGGCGCACTAGCGACACGAAATGTAGCGACTCATGCGGTTCGATGTAATTGAGTTGCAATAAATTGTGATTACTTTGTATGCATGAGACAAATTGAACTGAATCATCTTTTACATGGTCCATTCGAACCAAAATTCTAGAGAGGTCTATCCTTGCTTCTAAGAGCACTAGCAATCACGTGAATGCCAATATCTCGGCGTATACTTAGGCGATTGACGTGTTTGACGACTCGTTGGAAAGCCGACGCTGTGCTCTATCATTTAGTACAACTTAGAGTTCCTGCCAACTAGAGGACACGCCTCTACATCAAAAAGGGGGGCAACGAGGCGGAAAATTAATGAGGGTGGAATGAGAAGGTGGCAATGAGGGGGCGAACTGAGAATGGGGAAGGGGAAAGGGGGGAGCGGGGTGGGGGGGATAGCAATGGTAGTAGTCCGCGGCGCGCTCGCAAAATGCATGCCGCTGCTGCCTTTGTTGGGATTACCAGCCACGTCTGGGGTTGCGAAAACGACCCAGTGCCAATACAAACGCGTCAAACCCTAAATTGGACCTGGGAAACGAGGCGCATGGCAGGCATCGCGCGGCACACGGATCGACCTAGTAGCTCAACCGTCGGCAAGTCGCAACGATATCTGGGCATCGCAGGACTGGCGGCGTCGTATACGAAGAAGGTCAAGCGCATTATCGCCGGGCGGAAATTCTTGGATTTTTGGATATGGGACCCGTCGCAGTAATATCTGATACTAATTACTTAATACGCCATAGGACTAATAGTCAACGTCTGCACATATTACTTAATATGCCCCGCGATTTTCAACTACTTAGGGATTTAGTCGCTACAGCCTCACGCAGTCCTAGGCTAGTATGCGATGGGTGCGGAGTAGTGAACTACCAGTCACTGCCATGACGAGGAGTCCGAGGAATAAACCCTAATCTGAACGTGCTCCAGCCAGGTTTAATGCAAGGGTGGCGGGACAAACTGGTGGGGTGGGGAGGTTGTGCACAGCACGGCTGTTGCCACAGTGGTTTTGCAGCTCAGGGCATGGAACCTGTGTTGCGCTTACGGCTGAAGTTGCGCAACTCGAGGTAACGGGAGTCGCTATAAATCCCGGTTTGCCCGTGGCGACGATCTCATGTAGCGCAAATCAGGTATAAGGTTTTGGTTTTAAACTAATTGCTGTTAGGTTTCCACTCCCTCATATCGGTTCCCGAGCCCTACCCCATACCTCCCAGCTCCCAAAGCAGAAGCCGATAGTGTGCACGCAGTGGGAGAAAAGTTCTAGGTGAACTAGGGGAATTGGGACAGTCGAAAAACAAAAACCAGGCTGCTGACATGGCGATTCAACGTCTGCGTGGGCGCTGTGAAAAACGGAGCTGGGGAACAGTTGCTGTTGGAATCTTTAAGGGCGTGGGCCCAAACGGGTTTGATCGCGACTGATCTGATCGGGTTGCTTGTGATCGTAATGCCCGAGCCGCCCGATCAGTAATGTTTTTCTTAGAAGATTCTTCTCGGTTGCTCAGCAAGCAGGATTTAATTACCTGGTATTTTTGTGGCAATATTAGCGAGACTGGCAACCAGACGGCTTCTGACGAAACTCTCTGTATCCAAGTAATATCGTGAAAACCACTCCGAAGTGGTGGGATTCCACCAGATTGTTTGACACAGGCTGTATGTTCCTAGGGAGCGAGGAGAATGATTGGATGGCGAAATGGGTGCCATTCCAGGGTGTTCTGTACAGGCTGGACATCTTCGTGAGGAGTTGACAGATCTCTGTAATATAGTGTAACTTTTCGTCAGTATCGCTGTGGTCCCCGATCACCCATGATCGTGGATGATCGAAGAGAATCGACTATGATTGGGGGTAAATCGGGTCTGATCGAGTTGGGGCGATCAGCT